TACGGAGCACCTGAAATAGAGGCGAAGAAAATAAAAAAAAAAAGAAAAACGAAACTCTTAAAAACCGAAAACACAGCCACAAGATGCCAAAATATTTAGAACCGAAAAATGAAAAGAAATAAACCTTCTGGTCCCCAATTTTGCCCTTGCACTGGTCCATTGAATCCACAACTATCAACCCCTCACGATGAACTCCATTATACTAAAGATGTGCAACCAAAACAATAAGGCTTACCTTAGCAAACAGTTTCAAATCAACCCAACATAGGAAAAACACAGGAGACACTAAGACTTACTTATAATATAAATATATTCCAGGCCCAACATGCTAATTGTGCTAAAAAAAGTGATTTATAGTAAAGGCAATAAACACATAACCACATCAGCTAGAATATAACCCATTTCAAAAGAATCACCAAAACTGTGAGAATTACAGAACTAACCACAAAAAGGGTTCCATTCTAAGAATGGTGGGTATAAGATTAAGCTCAAGAAAACAAAAACCTGGTTTTTATCATCCGTGTCACTTGACGTATCAGTCTGCTGGCTATGATCTGCTACAATCCCAGAATCGGTCCAGTTTTCGAAGTGGCCACGGCCCAAAGCCCCACCCACACCCACCATTGCATTTGTCTCCTTGTGAGAGATGAAACCCAAACCCGTTCCAGAAGAAACCATCTCGTTTGAAACCATGGCCTGGGATGACGATAAACACAAATGCAGTGGTTGAGTCATTTTCACAAACATTTTGTGGACACCGAAGAGTAAAAGAGAAAACTCACATTACTGAGCCCACCAAACTGCAAGTTATTGGAGACAACTGAGACATTGCTTGCCTTCAACTCGTTATATACTGAGCCTAACAAGACTCCCCGTTAATTCTTCAAAAATAAAAAATGGGAACAAAAAAAAAATCGCACACGCATTCGTGGTTTAAGCTTATGGAGACAATTAAAAGGAAAGGAGAAAGGGAGGTTACTTCTGCTTAAATTAACAGCATTATCTTCATGGTGAAACCCATTTCCAGCCGACTGTTCAAGCTCCCCAAGATCCGAAAAGCGTGGCCCGTTTCTGGCAACTTCTTCACTTCTACAGTCAAATATGCACATAAATTAGTTTCACCAAACTGTATATTGTTATATACACTTACAAAAGCAAACGGTACGTTGACAAAGAAAGGTGAATACAGAGTATATACATGCAATTCACCGCACGGAGAAAGACAAAAAAACTGAAGAAAGAAGAAGAAGAAGAAGACGAGCTTTTCTGAGCACCTGAGGTAAAAGGGTGTCTGGTTATTATGGCAGTAGACATCAATAGCCTGTGCTGCGGATGCTTTGAAGCTATTATGCATTTTGAGCTTTCTTTGAGTTTCACTGTGTGTGCGTTACTGTGAGCTTTGAATCTCCTGAGTACGAACGAGTGTATGTATGGGGAATGCGAACAAGTTTACAAGAAGAAGCTAAAGCAGCAGCAGAAGGAATCAGAGGAGTGGGAGTAGAAAAGCAGAGATGACAGCTATTAAAAAAATCGAAGGGAAAATAAAATGGAGAAAATGATGAAAAAGAAAAAACACGGATTGGCTCAAGTAGTAAACAGCTTAATGTCCTTTAAACAATGTCTTAGGTTCGAGTCCTTGTAGAGGCAGAAAACCTTTGTTAGGAGACTCACCCACACCCTTGTTAGGAGACTCACCTACCACTGCTAGGTGTACGACTCGAGTCGACCAACTGATTAGTCGGTCTATAACTCCGAATACCGGACTAAAAAAAATATTGAAGAAAGGTCAAACTTCAAATGGAAACATTTTGATATATTTTTGGGATGATAAATGGTGAGTGTTGTTTTTATTCATAAAAAAACATTGGTACGAAGCTCTCTCTCATTATTGCCTTCTGATCCTTTGCCCTTATGGTAGATTTTAAGCCCCCCCCACCCCCCAACGTACTGTATTCACCCACGAGCCAGTCACGTGCCCAACCTAAGGTGTTTGGACATATTCCAATTTCACGTTAATTATTAGATTTAATAAATATAATGAGTAGCTCGTGAGCTCAAGTCCTCGTTTAGAGCATGTTTGTTTATGAAATTTTTTGAGTTTGTTTTGATTTTTTGGTTTGATTTGGTTAATTTTGAAAAGGTGGTATGGTTAGTTGTTAGTGGATTTTAAAATTATGTGAGTAGATGAATAGTGAA